TAGTAATTTCCCTTGGCATTATAGGGAAATAAACTTCTGGGTAACAACTTACTATTTTGATATTTCCCTTTCTTCTAGTTTTTATCACTTATTTATAAATAATATGAATAAAAATGGTAAATGAAAAGTAAGAAAAACTGGCCTATTTGGCACAGTGGATAGAACACAAGACCTAGAGCCAAGAAGACTTAAGTTCAAATTTGTCCTCAGATGTTTATTAGTTGCATGACCCCAGACAAATCACATAACCTCTGTCTGCCTCAGTTTCCTCAACTTTAAAATAGTAACAATAATAGCACTTACCTCTGAGGGTTATATTAAGGATCAAATGAGATATTACTTGTAAAGCACTTAGTACGGGGCCTGGCATATAGGACGGACATAAATACTTTTCCTCTTCCTTCCTATACACAGCAAAGTTCTATGCCTATTTATCCTTCCTTTTTCTTTAGTATTGTCAGTTATGCTTGATGTCTGTATGGTCTGTATGGCTCTAACTGCCTCTGTGGGCAATTGCTTAACTTTCTATGACAACTCAGATAAAGGAGTAATGAGCTAGGAACTATGTATAGGATTGGCAGTGACAAGACAAGCACCAGGACCCTGGATAAGTGGAGGAATAAGGTTGAAGCCACTGATTTTTATGATAGATAAAGTATTTTTCTATAGTTATTGTAGGCAATTCATACAGAGGAGACAGTAGGGCATAGTGAAAAAGAATGCTATATTTGCAGTCCAAGGACCCAAGTCTAAATCCTACCTCTTGTACTTCTAAGGTATGCAACCCTGAGGAAGTAACTTAGTGTCTTTGAGCCTCACTTTCCTCATGTGTACAGTGAGGGAGTTGGGCTAGATGATCTTTGTGATCTCTTCCAACTTTAAATCTATAATCTTATGAAAAATAAATGTTGAGGTTAGAAAAGTTGATTGGGGCCAGAATGTAAATGTCCTTGAAAGCCAGACTGAGTGTTCACCATGTTTTACCCAATCTAGATTACTAGCTCTTCTCCAAATAGTATCCTCACTTTTGTCTCCTTACTTTTGCACGTGCTATTTTCTGTATTCCTAGAAGGAACTTCTCTCTATCTCTACCTACTGAAATCCTTGCTTCATTCAAGGCTCAACTTAGATTTGACCTTCTTCAGAAAGTTATCTCTGATTCTCACAATTGAATATAATCTTTCCCATTTCCAATTTTCCTGGAAAACTTTCCTTAGGCATTTTCTTTGCCCCTACCACCTTCTGCCTTATTATCATACCTGGTTTTTACATGTTAAATAGCTTTATTGGGAATGTGACCTTCTGGAAGGAAGGAAATGTATAGCTTTTTCATTTTTATATCCCCAGAATCTAACTACCTAATTGAAAAAATAAAAGTATTTTATTTTGTTTTTAATTTATGGAATAAAACAAGCATTTCCATAACATTATATCACAAAAAAAGATGATTACACATGAAACTGTAAATCTACTATGCATAACTTTCTATTCCTTTCAAATATTCAACAAAATTATCATGTAAATTTCTTTTTTTTCTTCCCTTCACCCCCATCCTAGAGATGGCTAGCATTAGAAAAAAATAGGTGTATATATATATATATATACACACACACACATATATATACACATATGTATATATATACATATACATATATGCATGTGTGTGTATGAATATACATATGTAAAATTATTCTATACACCTACTTCTATTTATCAGTCATTTCTCTGGATGCAGATAGCATCTTTCTTCATATGTCCTTTAGTGTTAATTTGGGTATTTTTAACAGTCAAAATAACCTATTTACTCAAAATTGTTCTTAAAACAATATTGCTGTTACTATATACAATGTTCTTTAACAAACAAAAAAAATCTACTTTTAAAAATAGCAAAATACTTGAAGAAAGAAAGAGCTGGAAAACATCTGGCTGGGGAAAAAAGTCTGGGAGAGTAAATGAATTGGCTTCCTAAAGAGAAGGAACCCAGAGACCATAACAAAAAGAACACTTAAAAAGAGGCATCTTGAGATAAAATAAAGGCTCTGACACCTTGGGCTTAGCATAATGTTCATCTTCCTGAAATACCCTTTCCTTGATATACAGTGCCCTGCACAGAGGAGGTGAGCAATATACACTTATTGAATTGAATTAAACTTTATCTTGTAGGCAAGACAATTTTTGAAGCTTTTTTTAGTAGGATTTGGACATGTTACGATCTCTAGGTTCTTTTTTCTTAGGGAGTCAATTCACTGACTCTCCCTGTCTTTTGTTTTCCTCAGCCAGATGTTTTTCAGCTCCTTTTCTCTGAAAGTATATTTTCTTTTTACTAGTTTTTTTTGTCAGAATTTTTCAAAAAAATTGTTTCATGTTCAAATTAAGAAGCATTTTTTTTCTTTCCTTCTTATGCCTCTCCACCTAAATTGAAAGGAAAGGGAAGGGAAGAGAAAGGAAGGGAAGGGAAAAGAAAGGAAAGGAAGGGAAGGGAAGGAAGAGAAATTTAACAAATAGCAAGTCAGGCAAAATGAATTTTCACATTGGCCATGCAACAAAATGTAGGTCTCATTCTTCATTGTGTATCTGATACCTCTCTGGCAGGAGGTAACCTCCTTCATTGTCAGTCCTGTGGAGTTATTTTTGGTTGTTATATATTTATAACAGCTCTTTTCAAAATTACACAAATAATTTACTTCCTAGAGTCTTTTTTTTCTATTACTGAAAGAGTTGCTATAAATATTTTTTGTGTATATGGGCCTTTTCCTCTTTGTTTGAGCTCTTTAGGAGTATAAATCAAGTATTGGTGACTCTGGGTTAAAAAACTATGCACAGTTAGTGACTTTTGAGGTATAGTTCCCAATTGCTTTCCAGAATGACTGTATTCTCTAAGTATTTTTTCCTAGATAGAAAGACTTGAATTATTTCCCTCCCAACATTTTCTGGACTCAGTTCATTACTTTTTTCTTTCTAATAGTGCCATCCCTAGGTTTTTAGAGGCCCCAGGGATAACAATGATTGGCTTAGCTCCCTGCGTCCCTCTAGTTCCTTTAGCTAAAGCCATTGAACACTACCTTCTGTCTTAGCCCTGTGACTGTTATTACACATGATATGTGTACGTATGTATATGCATGTGTGTGTATGTGAGTGTGTGTGTGTGTGTGTGTGTGTGTATGTACTAGGTACTGGAATAGCTTCCCTTTCTCCACTCCTCTCCCATTTGAATGAGTGGGTAGAATAAATCATGTTTTCATCTGAAAGCATGGATGCCAATAGCTAGAGTTGTTAATTCAGAGTCACAGTCTCTAAGACCTGAAAGGAATCTTAGATTACATCTCCTCCAACCTGTATTTGAACAACAATCCCTTATATAATGGCCCCCAAGTCATGATTTAATCTCAGTTTGAAGACTTCCAAAGAAGGAGAATCCATTGTTTACAGAGAAAGCCTATTTTGGATAGCTCTAGTTGTTAGGAAACTTCCCCCTACATCAAGAGGAAATTGGTCGTTCTATAGCTTTCATTCATTATTTCTAGTTGTGTTCTCTTGAACAGAGATCTAGTTCTGCTTCCAAATGGGAGCCTTTCAAACACTTGAAGACACCTTTCATGTCCTCACTGTGCCTTAACTTATCCACCTTAAACACCCCTATTTCCTTCTATTGATTCTCTTCAGTTTGTCCTCTAGTCCTCTCATCACCTGATCTCTCTGTTCTAAATATACTCCAGAATGTTCTGGGTGTTTCTAAAATGTTCCAAACTGAACATGTTACTTTACACATTGCCTGATCAAGACAGAGTGGAGTAGAACTATCATTTGCAGGAGACTGGCAAAACAACAGCAAACAAACAAATAAGCAAAGAAATAAAAATTGAAAGAATCAAAGAGGAGAATAAGACAAGGATTCAGGATACTTCATCCTCATCTTTCACAGTGTCAATGGCACTGGAAGTTTGGACAACTAGAGATTTGTCTTAATTTTTCAGTATCAGTGTAACCCTGTCCCAGTTCAGTCTATCCTCAGCATATACAGCAAAGGCCAAAGTGCTAAGCAGCAAACCTAGCCCAGACCTCTGGACACTGCCTCCAGCAGAAGAGGGTGAGGAGATTTTTTTTTAAAGTTATATTGTGATCAAGAGAAAGATCAAAGATAGGATAGGACCATTGCTTGGGGTGAATAGGGAAGGGAAGAGAATAAGCATTTATATAGCACCTACTTTGTGGTAAGCATTGTGCTAAGCACTTTACTAATATTATTTCATTTGATCCTCACAACAAACCTTTGAGGTAGGTGCTGTTATTATCCCCATTTTACAGTTAAGAAAAAAAATTATTTTCCCCCATTACAGGTAAAAACAATTTTTAACATTTATTTTTAAAATTTTTGAGTTCCAAAATCTCTCCCTCCCTGCCTTCCCTCCCCCTCTCATTGAGAAGGCAAGTAATTAGATATAGATTATACATGTGCAAATATGCAAAACATATTTTCATGTTAGTCATGTTATGAAAGAAAACAAAAGAAAAAAACAAGAAAAATACAGGAAGTAAAGAAAAATTATGCTTCAATCGCATTCAGATTCCATCTCTTTCTCTAGAGATATACAGCATTTTTTCATCCTAAATCCTGCAGAATTGTTTTGGATTATTGTATTGCTGAGAGTAGCTAAGTCATTCACAGAGGGACAAGCTGAGGAAGAAAGAAGGTAGGAAAAACGAGCAGACATTGGGGAAAGGTTTGAAGAACTGAGGGGATAATTCTTTCAAGCTCAGAGCACAGGAGCTGTGTGTGAAGGGTGTTAGAAGAAAGTTGGGTGTAGTCAGTGGACACTAGAGAGTGGTGACTGATCCTAACGCTGTGGATTCCCTCAGAATCCAGTTTTCTTCCTACAGCCTGTCTTTATTCTGACCATCCACTCATGACACTTTTCTATTTTCATTTGCCATTGGGTGACAAAATCTGTCTGCAGCCAATTAGAATTAAGGCTCTGCTATTATATAATGTCGATGTCAATGTTTTATGATTATTGACCATGGAAATTTACGTGCTGTCTCTACTTTTGTTGGGTGTCCTGGTCCTTACAGAGACCTGGGCTGGTAAGTGTAGCGTAAGGTTAAATATCTGCCTGGAGACAAAGTCCAGAGGGCTGGGACAGATTTGCTCCATGGCACCTAGGCCTTTGCCACAGATACTGAGGAGAGACTGAACTGGGACAGGGGAGTGCACTGATACTCTCGGGACCAAGTCCCCACCCTGAGCCCTGGTCAAGGTCTCCTATGTTTCTGGCTCAGGCTCTCACTCCCTGAAGTATTTCTACGCCGCCATGTCTCAACCCGGGCTAGCAAAACCAAGGTTCATCTCCGTAACCTACGTGGACGATCAGCAGGTCTTGAGCTTCGACAGCGACCGTGAGAGCCAGAGCACGGAGCCCAGGACGCCATGGATCAAGCAGGAGATCCCGGATTACTGGGAGCGTGAGACGCAGATCTCCAGAGAAGCCACGCAGCGTTATCGAATGTGCCTGCAGAAAGTGTCCTCATACTATAACCACAGTGAGGGAGGTGAGTGACCAGAGGGGACCGTGGGTTACCTGTCTGGTCAGTACAGTTACCGCCTACACAAAGAGTTGGGTTGTGGCATGGGGGAGAGGGGGGAGAGGGGGGAGAACATGGAGAGGAGGGGGTGTGGCCTCAGAGAGAAAGGAGCAAGATTTCTGACCCTGTAGGAATGGTTTTTGGGGTCGAGACGCTGTGTGATCTTGGTGCGACGCCGCCCTCTGGGGCATGCTGAATTTTCTTGGGGGTCTCAGGGGTTCACACATACCAGCGACTGTCGGGCTGCGAGGTATTCTCCAACGGGAGCTTCAGCCGTGGCTTCGTGCAATATGCCTACGACGGGCAGGACTACCTGGCGCTGGATACCGAGACTCTGCGTTGGATCGCGGGGAACACCGGGGCTCTGAACAATAAGCTCAAGTGGGAAGCAGATCAAAGCGTTGCGAAATATTGGAAGGGATATATGCAGGAGGAGTGCGTGTACTGGCTTCACAGATACCTGGAGAACGGAAAGCAGACACTCCTTAAGACAGGTACCTTCCTACCTTCCCGCCCTGCCACACCCCCTCCCTACCTGACCTATTCAGCTTCCTCACCCAAAGGCCATGGACCCAGCCTGCGTGTGCTGTGGTCTGAAGTGGGGCTCAGCTTCCCTCTCCCTGAATGAGGCGGGGGTCTCTAACCCTTCTCTGTCTCCCCTGAAGCCACAGTCTTAGGGTCCGGTCTCCTAGGAATCTGGCCAAGCCTGGACTGTGAGCCCTCTCCCTGTGTCCAGGCTATCCTTTTCTATCTGGAAGAAGATCAGCCTCTCAGACAACAAGCAAAAGGCGACCCTGACTATACCTCTGACCTTGGCCCCGCAGATCCGCCCTATGTGCAAGTGACCAGACACACAAGTTCTGACGGGAAAGTGACCCTGCGGTGCCGGGCCCAGGACTTTTACCCTGCGGAGATCTCTCTGACTTGGCTGAGGGATGGGGAGGAACAGCTCCAGGAGACGGAGCTCATTGAGACCAGACCTGCGGGAGATGGGACCTTCCAGAAGTGGGCAGCTGTGGGGATGCTCTCTGGAAATGAACAGAAATACACCTGCCGAGTACAGCATGAGGGACTGCCTGAGAGGCTCTTCCTGAAATGGGGTAAGGACAGTGAGGTGGGGCTGTGTGGGCGGACAGGCTGTCCTCACCTCCCCACTCCCAATGACAGAGGGATCTGGAGCTATTCTTGAGTGGGGGAGTGGGACTGTGTTTGAGACAGCCCAAAGAGGGGGCAAGGTTTCTCACTTTGCGTTTTCCTTTTAGAGCCACAGTCCTCATCCGTAGGACTCTCTGCAGGGGTCATCACTGCTCTCCTTCTCCTCCTCGCTGCAGTCATTGTCGGGGTTGTGATCTGGAGGAAAAATACTTCAGGTAGGGAAAGGAGAAAGGGGCTCAGTAGGCGGAAGGCATGGTGGGGATTCTGGGTTTTCCCATCCTGGTTTGTATCTATTCCACCCAACAAGCCTCCTATTCTTCATATTAAGACTGAGAATAAGACCCCCATGGGGCTATAGATGAACAAACTAATAAAGGAACACCATTTTTACAGATGGTACATTTCCGGTATAAGAGGGTGAGTGAGCAGGGTAATTCAGACGCAGATCACAAATAGATCTAGCAGTTTAGGTCAAAACAATTGAGTGCCTGCCCAGAGGTGACCAGGCCTAATGTCTCTCTTCTCTTACTTTTGGATTATAATTCTGTACAAATTAAAGGGTCACAGTTACAGGAATTTGTCCTAGGTAAATGGCCCGCCAATTGAACCTCAAACATACTTGCTTCTCCTGAACTTTCCCGCTGCATTATTATTATTATTATTATTATTATCATTATCATTATTTTACTTCTAGATGAAAACAGAGGGAGCTATATTACAACTGAAAGTAAGTAAAAGGTCAACATGGGGATAGATGAGAGGAGCTGATTCATTTAAACCTTGGGACATGGGAAATGGGAACCCAAAATCCCTCCTCTCTCTTCACCTCTCCTCATCCTTTCCCATTCTCCTGTTCTGAACAATATATTCCTGATTAGGTTATCTTTCTCCTGTTTCTCCAGGTAGTGATAGTGCCCAAGGATCAGATGTCTCTCTTACAGCAAAAGGTGAGAGTCTGGTGATTCTAGAGTTAGAGAGGGCCTAGCGTAAAGGTGGCAAATGCAATAAAGATGAGTATGTCAGTGGTTGGGGTTAAGGGAGTCCCTGATTTTTGGAGGGGTGGTGAGACAGACTGATCAAAGCAATGAGTGGCTTGATGGTAAAATTGACTTTTTTCATGTTTTTCCTTAATCTGTTTCCTTTTTCAGCCTAAGGGAGCTACAACAAACCAGAGGCACCTATTTCTCCATTTCCTTTCTCATTTCTGTTACCCTGCCCCCCAATTCTCTCCCTATACTGGTTTCTGTGATCAAGCCCATATGCCTACCAGACAAACCTTATAGTAGGGAGCATCGGTGCCCTCACCCTATTATTTTCTGCCTTCTCTTCATCCACCTGTTTTCTCTCTGTTTTGCCAGATTTCACAGGGAGAAAATTAGATTGGGAGGCAGAAAGATTTTACACTTTCCCTTTCTCCCCAGTTGTTACACCGAACAACTTTTTCTTTAGAGATCTTTTTCTTTAGAGAAATAATTTTTTCCCTAAGTCCTGCTTTGGTTGCATTCCATAAATTTTGGTATGCTGTCTCATTGTTGTCATTCACTTTAATGAAATTATTGATTGTTTCTATGATTTGTTCTTTGACCCACTCATTCTTTAGGATTGTTGTTCTTTTTCTTGATGTTTGCTTACTGAAAGGAAATGCATTCTGAATATTTTTTCTTGATGCCTCAATCCTCCCCCCCCTTTTAAATCAAACTCATGGGATTTCCCATGACACATTATGGCAATACAAAAAGGAAAAGAAATTAAAGACTTGAAGACTTTTAATAATTGTCTTGTTGGCTGTGCTGAGTCTGTGGTTGCAGATGGGAGTGGGGGCTGGGTTAAGGAGGTAGGGGAACATAGAGGATGACAATTTGTACATAGTAACTACTCACATATTTGTTTTTTTTTTTATTTAGTCATTTCTCCCCCATGCAGTTTGTTCTGTTAGTTTGCATATGTGGTATAACTGGTATTTTCTAGAAATTTAGAAAGATCCTAGGTTACTGTAAGCATGCCATGACAGCCTTATAAGGTCATAAATACTTCAGTGGCAAAGGGGATAGAGTGCTGGACCTGGAGTCAGGAAGACTCATCTTCATGAGTTCAAATCTGGCCTCAGACATTTACTAGCTGTATGACCTGAAGCAAGTCACTTAAAACTGTTTGCTTTCATTTCCTCATCTACAAAATGAGCTTGAAAAAGAAACGGCAAACTGCTCCAGTATCTTTGCCAAAAGAACCCTAAATGGGGACACAAAGAGTTGGACATGACTGCACAACAACTTTGAGTGATCTACAGCTAGAAGGTTGAAGGTTATATCATCATTCCCTTTTATTTCGTTGAGACAGGCAAGTGGCATAATGGACTTGGCTTTAGGAGAAACTTGAGTAGAAGTGTCAGCTCAAACTCTTACTGCTTGTATGATCCTGGGCAAATCATTTAACCAACCTTGGCCTCAGTTTCATCACCTGTAAAACCAGTATAGTAATAGCACCTACTTCATAGGGTTGTTGTGAGAATCAAATGAAATAATATATGTCAGTGCTTTGCAAACCCAAGAGTGCCATATAAATTCTAACTAGCTAGCATTTTACAGGTAACTGAGGCCCAGAGAGGTTAATTTTGTGCAGGTAGCAAATGTCAGGTAGGTTTAAAATCCAGGTCCTTTGACTTCAGAGCTACTCCTCTTTCCACTATCCCAGGTTTTTAACTTGTAGTCCTACCATCAATATCAATTTTGTTTTCATGTTCTTGTGTGTGTGTGTGTGTGTGTGTGTGTATGTGTGTTCTGGCTCTACCCCTTAATCCAGGAACTTCAGTGTCCTCCATGCATAGACCATTACAGGATTCAGTACTTGGGGGATGATGATGATGATGATGATGATGATGATGATGATATCAATAATAATACTAATGATAATAATTCATGCTTTAAGGTTTGCAAAGTTCTTTAAAATGTTGTCTCATTGTATCTTAGGTGCTATTATTATCACCTCCATTTTACAGATGAGGATACTGAGGTAATAAGAGGTTAAGTAACTTGCTGAGGATCACATATCTAGTATGTGTCTATATGAGTGTAGGAGGTAAGATTTGAACCCAGGTCTTCCTACCAAGTCCAATACTCTATCTACTGCCTCTTGTTCACATTTTGGGCTGTTTTAGGGTTGACAGTTCTTCTTTATGTTTACTCCATAATTTTCTGCAAGTGGTCTAAATTTGGAATCAGCAAAGAGGGACCTACTGGATCCTAAGCATAAAAGAAGTTTCTGTTGTTTGATCCATCCTGTTAGAGAAAAAAAAGTGCTTTCTACTTTTTAAACTGCCCTCAGCATTTCTTTCCAAATAGAAATACATTTTAATTTCTTAAATTTCTGTATTTTGTTTCCTCCAAGGACTGATATGGTATCTCTGAGAATTGGCATTAGAGAGTTGTTCTTCCCCATATTTCAGGTGCACCCACAAGTTTTCACTTGATCAGAAATCTATGTGGATGAGTTATATTATTTTAATTGTATGATTTGTTATATTCCACTTATATTATAATTAGTAATTCATTCAAAGTAGCCAGTTAAATTGTGGTGGGAGCAGACTAAAATTTAGGCCCTATTGTTCATGTGTGCAAATTAACTACAGAAACATTTTTATTTTATTTTTTTATAATTTTTATTTTTTTTTAAATTTTCAACATTTACTTCCACAAGATTTTGAGTTCCAAATTTTCACCCCATCTCGCCCCTCCCCCCACCCCAAGATGGCATGCATTCTAAATACCCCTTCCCCTAGTCTGCCTTCCCTTCTATCTCTCCCCCCCATCCCCTTCCCCTTCAATTTTCCTGTAGGGCAAGATGGATTTCTGTACCCCATTTCCTGTATTTCTTATTTCCCGGTTGCATGTGGAAACATTTTAGAGGAACATTTTTAGTTAAAAATCTGAGTTGACTCACACCCTGGAGTTAGTTGGGTGACATTTGTTTCATACTCTAGGATTAGATGGCAAGGAGGATAGAGTGCTGCACCTGGAGTCAGGACGACAGAGTCCATATTTGGCCTCTGACACTTGCTATGTGACCAAGTCAGTTAACATCTGTTTGCCTCAGTTTCCTAAACTGTAAAATGGAGACCTACCTTCCTGGATTGTTGTGTACTTAGCACACAGTGGCCATTTAATAAATACTCATTTCTTTCCTTTCTTTCCCTTCCTTCCTCACTTTCTCTCTTCTTTCCTCCTTCTTCCTCCCTCCCTCTCTCTGTTCCTCCTATAAATTGTGCCAGCTTAAGAATAAGAACTCTCTTAGAATAATGCTTGATACACAGCAAACAATTAATAAATACATTTTTATTTCATTCATTTGTCCTTCATGCCAAATGTCCAATGGCTAAACATATTGCATTCATTAATTAATTCATTTATTTATTTAGTTTTAGTTTTCAACATGCACTTCCATAAGACTTTGAGTTCCAAACTTTCTCTTCTCCCACCCCCAAATGGCATGTATTCTGATATAAGCTATACATATACATTCCTATTAAACATATTTTCACATTAGTCATGTTGTAAAGAAGAATTAGAACCAAGGGGAAGAACCATGAGAAAGAAGAAAAAGGAGAGAGAGAGAGAGAGAGAGAGAGAGAGAGAGAGAGAGAGAGCAAATAGTGTGCTTCTATCTGCATTCAGACTCCATAGTTATTTTTTTCTGGATGTGGACAGCATTTTTCATCATAAGTCTCTTGGAGTTGTCTTAGATCACTATACAATGTTGCTGTTACTGTGCACAGTGTTCTACTGGTTCTGCTCACTTCACTCAGCATCAGTTCAGGTAAGTCTTTCCAGGTTTTTCTGACATCCACCTGCTCATCATTTCTTACATAACAATAGCATTCCATTACATTCATATACCACAACTTGTTCAGCCATTTCCCAATTGATGGACATCCCCTCAATTTCCAATTCTTTGCCCCCACAAAAAGAGCTGCTATAAATATTTTTGTACATGTGGGTCCTTTTCCCATTTTTATGGTCTCTTTGGGAAACAGCACTAGAAGTGGTATTGCTGGATCATAGGGTACATGCCACTTTATAGCCCTTTGGTCAGAATAGAACATATTTTTTGCAACAAAGGGATAAGGAAAACTCTTCAAGGCTTGATCCCAAAGAGATGATAAAGAGTTTAACACCATAACAAGAGTGAATAGGTGAATGACCCCACCTGGGAAGGGAGCTGTTTTAACACATTCCTAATCCATCTTGATTATTAACCTGACATAAAAGTCTTATGTCACTCTTCTCCTTTTCCTACTGATTTCCTCCTGACTTACAGATTGAAGGATAAATATTTTGCTTTCAAATATGCTTAATATATCTGATGAATAATTATCTCACATTCTATACTCAAGATCACTAAACCTACAATACAGCTGTTCTGTAATACATTTCCTCTTCCTCCTCATCCTCGTTTTTCTCCCTTCATCAGAGTTATGTAAATTGATTATTGACACAAAAAATGGAAAATAGTTTGTAACAGTTCCCTAGAGAATTTTAGAATAATCTGTAGAACAATTGTAACAATTCTGTAAGGAAGTCAAATGGTTGTTATGATAAGAGAGTCTAAAAATTGCTTTAGTCACTAACTGTAATCTTCTTGCCAAGAAGAAATGGCAATTAAGAACATCATCAGTTTAAGCTATAAATTAATTTGTATAATGTCATAGAGAAGGATAGTGGATGATTATTAGCACTATTGCCCCATAGAATAGGCAGAATAGAAGGCAGAACAACTTTAAAGATCTGTTGTTTGTCAGAATCAAGGAGGTAGGGGAGACTGAGGACAATGTCTTGTACATAGTAACTACTCAAATTTTTGTTTTTTCATTTAGTCATTTCTTCCCCATGCCATCTGCTCTGTTAGTCTGCATCTGAAATATAACTGACATAACCCAGAAATTCCTAAGTCTCCCTCTGCCTCTCCCTCCTCCTCAGCAAAAGTTTAAGAATTCAGGGATTTGACCTTCTAGAGAGGAAAGAGGATTTCTTGGTGCAGTGTGTTCCTTGGGGAAAGAAGATTATTGTCATTGTAGGTCTTGTACAATGTCCTTCTTAAAGAACTTATATTAAAGGAAGGGGGCTGATAACAGGGAGGACAGATTGAAGGAGGCAGTGACCCAAAGCAAAACTCTAGTAAGGAGAGGAAGGGAGGAAGAGAAAGAAAAGCATAAATGGATGGGAAAATAGGGTGGAGAGAAAGACGCAGTTAGTAATTATAATTAAGAATGTGAATGGGATATAATCTCCCCAAAAATGGAAGTGGATAGCAGAATAGATCAAAAACCATAATCCTACAATATGTTGTTTACAAGAAACATACTTGAAACAGAGGGACAGAAGGATATAAACAGGGTAAAGGTAAAAGGCTGGAGTAGACTATATTATGCTTCAGCTAAAGTAAAAAAAAAGCAGGAGTAGCAATCCTAATCTCAGACAAAGCAAAAGCAAAAATAGATCTAATTAAAAGAGATAAGGAAGGAAACTACATCCTACTAAAAGGTAC